ATTTTATCTTGAATTGTGGGTAGCAGCCTTATTGCAAGCTGGCGTAGTTTACTGCTCTGCTTTTTCCACACCTCCCAAAGTGCAGCAAACATCTGTGGCTCTAATGAGGTCATCACTGAGGGTGTCCAGAGAGCTGGGCCCTGAGAACCGGCCTCACCCCTGCCTGAACACACATGACAAGTGCCAGGGAAGCCGTACAAATTAAATGGGGGAGCTGGCACTCGGCTGTAAGTTAAGCTCTTAAGAAACTTTCTGCCGTGATTAAAAAGAGAGAGAGGGGAGTTGGAGTCTCAGAAATGACAGAGCAACAAAGCTGGAGCGAGCCCACAGAATCAGACTCGGGCTCACTGATGAATATTATCACTGACATGAACAAGCCACGCTTAAGTTTATCTGGGTCTGCCTCCTTAAAAGGCCCAGGGGAACCGAACTGTCAACTTCTGCATCTTACCTTGTTTTGGAGGAAATGGCCTATAGACCCACATGGTTTAAAATGAAGCTTTGGTGGATTCAATCGCGGTGTGTGTGTGTGTGTGTGTGTGTGTGTGTGTGTGTGTCCTTCCAACAAAAAAATTCAAATAGACAACACCTATGCGTCGTTTACAAATAATGTATTACGGACACAGAAAACAAACCAAGCTTCTTTGGAGACCCCTAAATATAAACGACACCTCTCAAAAAACATGCACACAGAAACTGAAAGTGCATTTAAGCCAGTAAGCCGTAGTGGTTTTGTTTAGTGATCTAATGTTAGAACATTGCCGGGATGATACTCCCTTAAGATACCCATCCCATGGAATCAGAAATGCAAGCTTCAGGATGATAGGAAATCTTCAGGTGGAGGGAAAATACTTCGTCTCTATGATGTAATTTATAAGCATTTTGGCCATGCATTAACCAGGCCTGTCTGGCCACATCTGTCCTGTTAGCTCAGTTAAGTCTGTGGTGATGTCTAGGATGTGTTAGGATAAGATGTATGTGGATAGAGTTCACGAGGGTGAGTAAGATCCAATAAAGTCTCCAAACAGACCTAGAAATGTTAATCAGTTTGAGTGGAGAGTCTGTCTGCAGACATGCTTCCACAGGGGTGGAGCCCGGAATCTCTTGCCACTGTACTCCTGGAAGGAGTGTGATTCTAAAATGCAGGATAAAAATCTGTCAACTTTGACTATTCTGGTATCATTACTGTGGTTTTAGAGAGCCTTCATGCAGGAGATGTGGAGGGCTGGAAGCAGAGAAATGTTCGCTTTCCTAAGAGCGCAGTAAACTAGCCAAATTCACAACAAAATCCATAGTGTAGGCAGCCTGGGAATGAGAAGGGTGAGCAGACCGGCTGAATGGAGGACTCCTTGACCCCTTCTGACTGACCTTGAATATCTTCATGTTTACCTCAGGAATCTGCCTTCAGCTTAAATGCCAGATATAGATGGGAGTTGATTCTGGACATGTGCTCAACATAGGCAATTCAAGAAACGGTCTTAGCGGTGATGGCAGAGAGGGCCCAAATTTACCCTCAACGCCCTGAGTTAAAGTATTTTGTCTTAGAGGAGAAAGTTGCAGCTTCAAGGTCTTGAGTGTGACAGAGAAAGAGTTTTAGGGGAAAACGGCCCTCTGCTTGCATGAGTTGGGGAGCGGCATGCTTGGGGAACCAGGGTGATCTCATACACTTGTTCAGTATTCATTTGGGGAGGGCTTGCCTAATGCCCACTTCAAGGCCGAGCTTTAATTTTTAAATGCAAATGAAGGAAGTGTTGCGTTTAGCTTTGCCAACAGTTTTCAGCAATCTTGTTGGCCTACATTTAGCTGGGAAGCAGCACGGGGACCAAGCGCAGGGGCTCAAACAATTGAGCAGTTGTTTGCCTGGCTCACATTCCTGAAGCTCTCTGGTTCCAGCTGAACTCCTTGGGAACAGTCTGGGCTGTGTACCCCTGGGGAATCGGCCCCAATTAGCACTGACCCTTGGGGGCCTCCTTGCTGGCCTAGGTCATTCTAAGATCTCAAGTCTGGGTAAACCAGATTGCTTCAGGTGCCTCTGGGCTTTCCCAAGCCCCAAGATGACATCCGGGACTGTCAACAGAAATGCAGTCACACATAAAAGTCCAACCTAACATGGCCCCTCCAGTTCTCTAATCCCCAAGGGAGATGTGGTGGACCTGTGCCATAACGGAGGAAGCACGGGGCTGAAGGCTCCAAGAGTCCCCCCTCTGCCCGAGTCCTGTAGTGACGGAAGAGTACACATTACGTGCAGATCTTCCCAGTATTGCTTGTGGGTCTTCTAACGAGCTGGACGACCCTGGAGAGTCATTGAACCCTACCTTCTGCTTTCTCGTGTGTCTTCTCCTGAGGACAAAAAAAAAGTCTATCCTGAGAAGTAAGTGTTCATGTACGTAACAATGCTGGCTTGCAGAAAACCTGGGGTAAATGGAAGTCAATTACAGAGACCTTTGGCCAGGGTGGTTCCACTCCTAGAAAATACGGTGTTTGCTGTGGTTCATGATCAGGTTATAATTACCCCCTTTTCTTAGGAAAGAACCCTACAGCTTTGCTTTTGTATTTCTCTCCAAACAGCACTTCTAGGTAATGGGGACTGATTGATGGAAGGCTCCTGTAATTTGGACTGGGGCTGAAGGACCTGAGTAGACTGATGGAATAGTCTTAGATGTACTGAGTCTTACAACTGGGCTTCAACAAAGGCAGGAACCTGAATGGCTGAGATCAAAAAAGTTCCACGGCCCATGGCAGTGTAGGCCTTGGCCAGTATTTACCACATCTACCATGATTCCCAGGACTGAGGTGGAGCTAAGTAAGATACATGCTGAATGCGGCTTAGAGGCCAACGGGAAAAAAGACATTAGCCTACAATTTCAAAATATGGAATGAGGGCTAAAAATGGGTTTGGATTGAGGAATACATGAGCACGAAGGGAGAGGGGATCATAATGAATTTGAAAGACAAATTGAACCCAGCTAAGTTCTAAGTATGTATTTACCATGAGCAAAGATTTAACAGTGGAGTACAAAGATGAGCAGTCTGTGTCAAAGAATATGTATACATAAGAAAACATGAATACAAAATTAAATCAAGTCCCGAAGAAGGATTTACTGTAAATCATCATCTCTGCTTCTTTTCACCCGGGTAGCAGATGGTCACACTGGCTATGAGGTTGGGATGGTCCATCAGAGGCAGCCATGAAGGCCCATGATGCCGGGGGAGGGGATAGAGGATGGGAGGTGAGGGGGGTGTCTGAAGGTCAAAACTCTTGAATGTGACCTTGAAGAGCAGCCTGACAGGACAGGCATCAGCTGTGAATTTATTCACATTTGAATCAACTCTTACTTCTTATGGAAAAACTTCACAGGCTAGTGGGACAGACCAGAGTCCAACCTACAGCCAGGGGTGGCTTTCTGAGTCCATTTCTGATTAAGGTTACCTGTTTGAAATTAACCAGGAAAAGTAAGATCTAAGATCCATGTCCCCCCAGGAATACCAATGTCCCAGGTAATAGGTGGAGTAGGAGTGATGGGAGAGAGGGACGTTTCTGGATTAGGCTGAAAGATGCTAGTACCAGACTATTTGAGACTCTGAAACCTCCATAGCTCCGTCTAGTTCCCATTAAGGTCTTCCCTGATTTGCTGACTTGAGTCACCTGTTGTCCTGGCCAATCCCTGCTGGGGATTACCCTGTGTGCTGGAGCTGGGAAAGGGAGATGACTGTTTCCTGACTCTTAATCTGTAATTTTTGATAGAATCATTTGAAACTATCTTGTAGACTAACGCACATCCATGATTGATGAATACCTACACATTACTGTAGCCCAGAAGGTATCTACTGCTATTAAAAACGCTCTTTTAATGACATAAAAAAAGTGGTAAGAGATGAGAATGTCTACTTGTTCCCGTTCCAGGCACAGGACACACCCAGACAGATGCTCTGTTGTGTGTCCGTGGTTCACTGAGGAGAGCAAGCTGCTGACCCACACCTTCTGAGGCAGTTTGAGTATTTTCTGGGGATCTTCCTTTTTTCCGTGTGTATACTTAGGGTGACCATGCACATATGTGTATGTGTGTGGAGGCCAGAGGTCTGCCTGATGTTTCTTGACACAGGGTGTCTCACAGGGACCTGAGACTGGCTGATTAGGTCTGGTCGGCTATCTAGCCAGCCTCAGAGATTTCCCTGTCTCCACTTCCCTACTGATGAGGTCACACATGTGAGCCACCATGACTAGCTTTTTACACGAGTGCCAGGAATTGAAGTCAGGCCCTTGGGTTTGTACAGAAGGTACCTTTCCCTGAGCTATCTCGCTGGCCATCCCTCTCTAAGTGATCATGGTTAAGTACCTATTAGAAGTTAGACACTGTGAGAAGTAGGCTTCCTTTCCTAGAAGTTCACAGATAAGGAGAGAAGACTGAAAGGGGCCGAAAGAAGGAAACCGGGACACTGAGGGAACTTTGGTGACCGTCCTGCTGGAGGAGACAATAGCAACGTGTAGACGCGGCTACACGCAGGGACATGTAGGGACACGCAGCAGAAGTATGATGGGCAGGCAGGTGTCTAACCAGAAAGGGCCTGGCCCAGCAGACCAGTGAGAGGGGTGGCGGGAAGTCCCTGTCCTCTTAGGCAAGGAAGCAGCACTGGCTGTGCTGTGCTTTAAAGCGAGCTGCTGGCCGCTGAGAGGAGCTGCTGGGAACGGAGCAGGATGCTACTTCATGAATTCCAGCTAGTCTGCTTGATCCAATTTTCAGTGCCTCTGACTAGAGCTTCTCAAGGAGAATAATGTTTTTACTCATGTTTATTTTCCTTTGTCTGGGCCAGGGCTCTTTAAACTTTATCAACTCATTGCCCCTTTTCACCTGAGAAAATTTTATGTATCTCAGGCCCTTTCAGAAATTATGAGAAATTCTGTCCTAATCCTAAACTAAAATTCACTTGATTAATTTTTTGTTAAACACATCAGCAACTCAAACAACAATTTTTTAAAAAAAACAGTCATTGTAACACAATAAAATCCAAAGGGATGATAATTTTTTATTTCCATGCTGAAACAGGAAACAATTTTGTGAGCTAGAGAGTTGGATCCCTGATAATGAGCATGCACTGCTCTTCCACAGGGCCTGAGTTCAAATCCCAGCATCCTCTCAGGTGGCTCCTTGCTGCCTGCAACTCCAGTTCTAGGGGGACCCAACACCTTTGACTTCTACACATACCTACATTCATATGCACAGAACCATATACACAGAGACACATCAATGCATACAAATAATTCAAAAATAATAAAAATTAAAATGAAAAGGAAAATATTTTGTTTTCCATAATTAAAACTTACACTTCTGCATACAGCTTTGTACGTACAGTAAAATCACTGCAGGTCATAACATAATAATCTTAAATCTGAGCATGTGTGGGTTTGTAGGCGGTGTTCCTTGGTGTTGATACTATGATGTCATTCATGGTACAATATCAATGCACACATTTGTGTTTGGAACTCAGGCTGCAGTGAGGTTGTGTGATACAACACAGGTGAAATCTGCCAGCAACAGATTCATTATGCATTCAGTTTTGAATTAAATTTTGATCCCTGTACATTCAGGATTCCTTTACCAAATTTTTCATGATTCCCCTTCCCCTTTTAGTTAGATGACCCATATGGGGCTTCCCAGAGCATTCTAAGATGCTGGCATCTATGTAGTCTTGGTCCTTAGCAATCACTTGCAGAATGTCTGATAATCTATGACAAATGACAAATCGAGGGCAAGAAGCCTAGTGTTCACCATCGTCATCTAGTTCTTCTGCAGTTGCATGGGAGGGGACAGCAGTTGTATGTGGCAGACCCCAGCACCATTTGTCCCTTTGTGAACACTAAGCTATGTCACTAATGGGTTCAGTGGTGTCTGTGGGGACTGGGAGAAGGAGCCTCCTCTCTGGTCTCCAGAGCTTGGTGGATGGGAGGCACTTTGTTGAGTGGGCACCTGTGACCCTGAGACAGAGGATATTGAGCTCTTGACATGGAGGTGTCTACATGGAGACAGAAATGCTTGTGGGAGATGGGTGGAGACTCCAGAAGAAGACAGGAGGAGACATTTGGTTGTTGCCCCCCCAACCCATCTCTACATCCCAAAGAGGAACCTTTGGCCTCTGGCTCTTGCTTTAGTTTGCCATGAGTACCTTGCAAATCCTGTCTGTCCGGAGAATAGAAGCTGAGTTTGAGATGTCTTTTGGTCACATAGAATAATACCTTCCTAGGTTCTGGAGGCCTGAATTTGGAGTCCTTTGGTGTTCAGAGTCCTTATGTGTGAAGTGAAAATAGCAACAGTAGCCACATTATGATGTTGTCTTGAGGATGAACAGATGTTGGAAAGTACACATGTCTGTAGCTCTGAAGAAAGAAGATTCTCACATACCACTTTCAGAACTGGGAGGCAGGAGGGACGAGGAGCTTGTTAGCCGGTAAATCCATAGATGCCTCTAGCTCACTCTGAGCAGCCAAAATGTCATAGTCAGCCACCAGTGGCTCCTGAGAACTTCTTGCAAGTCTGTGTCCATCTGCTGCTCATGGGCTTGAGAGATGTGGCTCTCATGTGACTGGTCAGAGTGCAGGTCAAGAAGAATCTGACTATGGGAAGCCTCAGCTGGCCACCTGTGAAAGCAAGAGCCTCTGTGTGCAAGAATGAACACTTAGAAACATGTCTGCACAATCACTCTTCAAATCTAACAGACTAGCTAGACTCGAGAAGTAAAGAAAACATGGTCATGTCCTCAGAGTCTGCCTGTCCAGAGTTCCAGCTCTCCCTGTGAAAACCAGAACTGAAATGAAGAAGGAGCTACGTTTCTTCCTGAAACACTATGAGTGGAAATGTTTGATGGCTGGGAGTCCCAAGTGGAAAGCATCAGAAAGAACAGGCAACATTTTTCTTCCCTCTCTTGAGACAAGGTCTCACTAGGAAGCCTTGATGGCCTCATCCTCCTGCCTCTGCCTCACAGTGCTGGGGTCACAGGCATAAGCCACTGTGCTCAGTCAGGAACATTCAAGCTGAAAATCTGCTATTAATATTTTTAATCATATATTTTCAAATTATTATAAGAGGTAGGGCATTTCTCAGCAAATCATCAGAGAGACTAGGAGAGTGCATGTGTAATAAAGTATCAAATGGTGCTTAATTAAAAATGATTGAAAACTGGAGTGAAACTCCTTAAGCTCTTGAAAACACATTTTCAAAAGGATTTTACCTTTATGAATATAGCTAGTCAAAACTGACAGATAGTAAACCAATTAATATGCACAGACACTTGCTATTGAGTTGTTTTAATAGTAATATTGAAAATAAACTTTGTTCAGTAAGCAGGAACTTGCTAAATCTATACAGTAAAATATTATACACGTACTAAAAAAGATGAGTGTTGATAACTTTAAAGATGTGAAAAACTGCTCAAGACATACAGTAAATAAAAGGGATTTAGAACTACAAATGTTGAGTGAGAAATGAGTAGCAATAAAGGTGGAAGGAGATTACAACAACATACAGCCATGGTCATCTCTGGATGCTAAAGCGATAGCTCATTGCATTTTCATGCCTAATGTGAGTAGTTTTCATTTTTATGAACTATAAAGTGTAGTGTTTTTGAAAGCGCTTTAAACACTCATTGGAATAACCCTACACTGCTACAGTTGGGAAGAAACTAATTATTTTAGCCTAAAGGCAAATTTTACTTAGCTTTGTTACGGGGAGATTCAAAATGTGACTTTAAGAACACCTTTCTTGCCTGGCGTTGGTGGTGCACACCTTTAATCCCAGCACTTGGGAGGCAGAGGCAGGCGGATCTCTGTGAGTTTGAGGCCAGGATGGACCGACAGCCTCCAAAACAGAGAAACCCTGTCTCGAAAAACCAAACCAAACCAAAACAAAACAAAAAGAACACCTTTCTTTACTTTATGTGCATGAGTCCCACAGGCATGCAGTACTCGAAGACCTAAGGAGAGGAGGGTCTGGACCTGGAGTCACAAGAAGTTGTGAGTCAGTGTGGGTGCTGGAAACCTAGGGCCTTAAGCAGCAGCGGCAGCAGCAGCAGCAACAGCGGCAGCTGCAGAGCTCGTAACCCCTGAACTATCTCTCTAGCTCTCTTAAAACACGGCTTCCAGGAGCTTCCCTCTCTCAGCTTTCCTGGTCCCTGGCTATGTTACTCACACTCATCCCTGTTCCATTCCCTCTCATCTGCCGATGAATCTGCCTCATATCCAACTTTCTCTCTTCCGTTAAAGGGGAGTGGGGAGACAAAGAAATGAACAGAAGAATTCTGTGTGTTTTGTTTCCGAAGAAAATAGAACATAAGATAAGCAACAACACAGAATCACTTTCTGCTTTGTAAACAAGTCCCATCAAGAAACCCACCGGAAGTTCTGCTGAACCTGGTAGCACAGGCCTGTAACCTCAGCTCCTGGGGAGCCTGAGGCAAGGGGGTCACAAGTTCAAGGTTGGCCTGGACAGGTTAGTGAAGCACTGTCTCATAGACAATGGAAGGCCGGGAAAGTAGGAACGCTTCCTTAGACCTCAAAAAGCAGTCACCTTCAGAATTCAGTGTAAGCCTCTGAACCAATGGCAAGGACACCTATTTCTCCTTAGATGATTGTCCAGGCCCGGATGAGAGGGTTTTGTCACTTGGTTTTTTTCTCTCTTTAAGTCTAGAACTCAGGGTTTTCCACACACCATGCAAATGCTCTGCCGCTGACCTATATCCCTAACCAAGAGACTGAGCTAGTCTTTAACTTAACATTTAAGGAGGAGTACAAGTCAGGATAGGGGAGACAAGAAACTCATAATCAAAGTCAGTGCTACCTAATTGCAATCGTTTTTAAATGTGAAATTAATGCAAATAAAGTCCAGGACAACCAAATATAAAACAAAATTGAATAGGACCAATGTTATAAGTAAACTACAATGGAGCTTCAAGAGAAAAAAAGAAATTTGCTTATTTATTTTAAGTGAAGATTGGTTCTGACGAAGTTTTTATCCCCCGATCTCCCGGAATCTGCTCACTTCTCATCTATAACGCTCTTCCGGTTACACTGCTCTTCATGGTCTCTTCATGTGTACTTCCAGCCGTTATCTTCCACATACACCTTCTGTTTCCTGCTGCCTTTACTTCTCCTACTCTTGGACTTCTTGAGCAAGGTATTTAACCTAGCATCAGAAACATTTACCAAATATTTTAGAGTCATATCATGGTAAAGGAATGAGTGAATGAATGAGTGAATGAATCAACAAAGAAAGGAACAAATGAATTAAGGCACCTACTCCCTGGAGAGTGTCATTGTGAGCCACCTTAGGTTTTGTAGGTGTGTAAGCATATATACAGTGTATGTACTTCACAGCCAAGGTGCAGTCACAGGCAGGGGGGACACAGGTAAACCCTTCACAGTTGTGTTTGAGAAAGGACATAGCTGGGGACAACCTTGAGGGTATGCTGCGGGTCTTCAGTGAAAGGGTTTCTGCTCACTATGATGGGGGGGGCTAACTTGTGAAGTCCATAGCTTCCTCATATGGGAGTGCTCTTGGTACCTGTGGGTTCAGCTGTAACAGTGAACATGAATGGGGTGGGGGACAGTTTAAGGAAGGAGATGAGTGAGTTTAAGATGTTCCTGTAGGCTTTTGATAATTAACTTAAGATGCCCTGAGCAACAGCTCAGCTTTCTTCTAGAACCTGCTCCTGTGCATTTCCTTCTTAGCACCCATGCTCAGGCAGACTGCCAGTGGAAAGCTGTGCTGGTTTTATTTCACCCTTGAGGGCTGTGCTTTTGCAGCAAGCATGAAGACTTAGGCTCAGATCCTCAGAGCCCATGTGAAAAGCCCAGTGTGATGGTGTGTACCTGTAATCCTAGGCCTGAGAAGAACCCCTGGAGCTGGTAGTCTAGCCTAATCTGCAAGCTCCAGGTTCAGTGAGAGACCCTGCCTCAAAACCCAAGGTGGAGACTAATGAGCACATCCACACACATTTAACACACACCCATATACAACCATTGAGAGATCACCAAATCCAGTATCTTTATACTAGAACGGCAACTGGCATTCATTCTTTTTCGTAATTCTTTAGGACACAGAAATCTCCCATAGTTCTGAATCATGCACAGATCTCCTGCTAGCTTGTATACAGATTTGTTCCCTCAATTTCACTGAATTTTCAGTCTCAGCTATAAACAAGGCTGTTTAGGAGGCTCTGAACCAATTGCTAACTCCTAATTCTACGGGCTTATGGGTGTTACAGATACAAGAGTCAACAAAACATCCCTGGGGATGGCTCCCCCCAGCCCCCGAGAACAGGGGTGAGACTGGCCCCAGAGACTTGTCACTGGTTGGTCAAGTGTGGTTCTATCCCTGTGCTGATGGTAAAGCATCTTCTATTGAGCTGAACTTCCGTGTATCTGCCACAATGCCTAAGCCGAGTAGAGGATAATGACAGAGAAAGTGAAATCCCGAGGCCGCTGTAGTGCTAGCCGTCTCTAGAGCATCACACTTCAACATCGTTCTTTTGCTTAGAGCTAAGGGAATGCTTCTCTTTCTGAGCAAATGTGTTAATCATTTTCCTTTTCTTCTTTCCTTTATGTCCCTCCCTTCCACTTGCCCTTTCTTTCCTCTCTTCTTCCCCTTCCCTGTCCTCTCCCTGATTCTCTTCCTTCCATCTTTTCTTCCCCCTTTCCTTTGTTCCTCCTTCCCTTCTCTCTCCTTTCTCTTTCCCTCCTGTCTTTCCTCCCTTCCTTCCTTGTTTCCTTCCCTCCTTCCCGCTCCTCTCTTTCCTTTGACGTTTTAATCTCTCCCTCTTTTTAAATTTTCTTATTCCATTAGAAAAGAGAACACAAGCCCCCTGTGAGCTCTGTCCATCCCATTCATGGGAAGGAATCGTCCAGAACAAGGATTCTGCGCTGCGGAATGGCTAATAAGTGCTGATGGCTGGCTATTATTGCAGTTGTTATGATATTGTCAGGCTAGATTCACACAATATGTCCATTCAGAAAGCCAGTGATACACAAAACTATTCTCCCCCTCCCCTTTTAAAGCTTTGTCTTAAAAAGACACCTTCCTGTCATTGGCGCTTATAAGTGAATAAAATGAAATTGATGCCTGGCGGGAGAAGGGAAAATACTTCTTTGCTGTGTGTTGGGAGCGAGTGACATCTTTGCTGTCAGTGGCAGTGAAGTGAAACACATACCAAATATGTCTTGACATAACTTTGACAGAAATGTATGTCTTCTTTTCTCTCATTTATTTTTGTGATAAGAATATGTGATTTTGCTGCCAAGGAAGCTTGTAACACTGCAGAGAAATGGAAATGGAATTGTGTTGGGTATGTCCAATTTCCCGACAGAAGCCGCTGAGTTGCTGCACTCAGGCAGCCTGGGAAACGGAACAACAGGCCTCAGTCCGTAAGACCCAGGCACTGACATTTGTCAAAACAACTTTCCTCAGCGCATCAAAATGCTCCTTGCTCTTTTGTGTTATTCAGATGCATCGGGTGGCTATGGTTTAGAAAATGGTGACTGCCAGAAAATCCCTGCCATCCACTTGTGAATGATGCCGGGAGAAGAGTTTGCTTTCCTGCCTCAGAGTAGGCCTGTTCGTTTGAAGGCTCCCAGTCTTAAAAACAGATCAAGATCTCATGTAAATGAGACTGTTCCCCTTTTTGTTTTTTTGTTTTGGTTTGGTTTTTCTTCTCCACCAGACGAAAGTAAACGGCACCGCTCAGTTCAGTTCAAAGGCAAATGTGGGATGGCTGTCGTGTGCGGGTATGTGCCACTGGATTTTTTCTTATTGTCTTCCTCAGAACACCAGTAGTGCTGGTTGGTGGGGCTGTCCCTTCAGTAAGTCCTGTTTGTGTTCTTCCTCTGTGGCTGTGGAGCACTGACTGGGGATCAGGAGGAGTGTGCTCCCTACTGTGTCTCTCGGGGACTCTTTTCAGGATCTGTACGGTATTCCTAGAAACTCAGCATCAGTTTCTGCAGCACGTAGCGTATGGAGCAAGAACAAACACTCTTAGCAGTGTGCTCACTGCCCCTACTTACAGAACGTCAGCCCTGAGCCCTCCAGAGAGCCCTCCATGCTAACATCACGGAACAATAAAGGAGAAAGGCAATAGATGCCAGACTTTGCGCATGTGTTCTTTTTCTCACTTATGGGCCCATTCCCTGGTGAGCTGACTAGTTGTGGTTCTCTGCAGGGAAAGGAAAACCTCATTTCATCTTTGAAACTAACAAGTATCTTAAAGGACATTTATTCCCTTATCCTTACATCATGAATACAGTGTGGCCCGTCCTCAAGTCCAGCCCACACTGAAATAACTACTGGCAGGATAGAAAAAAGGAACATTTGTCAGGAAGAATGATGGATGGGTGGATCACTGGAGACCTTGTGATTAGGATAACGCATGTTAGGAACATGCCTGCCCAAACCAGAAGCGGCAGTTACCTTTACTCCTGGTACAGGACTAAATCTAACATGTGGTCGAAAGCAAATTGGACATGTTTGGTACTGAAGTTATGATTACAGACCATACTCACCAAGGAAAACCTTTTCATTTAGTTGTAAGAAATGACAGAATTTATTAGAACTATTTCTAAAGGCAAGACTTCTTAAATTTGTGTAATTATACTGGCAATAATTGTTTAATACTTATAAGAATAAAAATGTCTATGTACTCTCTCTCTCTCTCACACACACACACACACACACACACACACACACACACACACACACACACACTGCTCCAGAGGCACAGATACTTCCTGCAGGAAAGGGTAGGCATTTTGTTTCATACTCCAACTTTGTCATTTTGTTTATTGTGCTTCATTTCTGACAATTCCTTGCATAAGGGAAAAGCACAGCCATGGGGCCTGCCTGATTCTGGTGGCCTCTGTCACAGACTCCAGACTCTGTTGGGTTGCTGGTTGTCCAGTCACCATGTTTTTAAGGCTTGCTTTGGTTTTTGGTTTTGGTGATTGATGGGGAGGGTGTTGTGATAGCTGCCATTGTAGGGAGGGTCTCCCTGATTCAATGACCACTTCAGTCCTGGGAACAGATGTATCTTCCTCCTGGGGCCCTCAAAGAAGAACCTAATTCCAATAACTAGTTGTTTGTCATGCATTTCAGGAGAAGCTCTCAGCTCCTTGAGAGGCTCTGCCTTCCATTCAAACAACACAGAAGGAGCCTTCCAGGACACGTGAGTAAACAGAGTTTTGCATCGCTGTGAAATAAACACCTAAGTTGGGATCAGTCCACCACTGGTGTCTGCAAAACCAGAGGTAGAGGGGCAGGGTCCATGGCCCCCTATGGACAGCAATGGCAGACAGCGGTATCTGCAGGGGAAGTCCAGCTAGCTCCGTGGGTTCATTAGCAACTCAACCCACTGCTGAAGTGCTTGGGAGCCCAGCAAGGCTGGGGATGTATTTAACAGCTCCTTTCGCGCATGTTATAAACCAATGTAATTTTAAAGAAAAACTTAATCCATATGTTTTCCATTAATCTGTACTAAACTCATCAAAATGATGTTTTGTAAGAGTGATTTGGTGCCCAAGAAGTCTTTTGAGTTGTCTGTAACAAGCCTTCCTAATGCCGGTTCTCTTTGAAGCAGGAATTGTGTTTTGCCAACAGCAAAGAAATTCAAACCCCCAAAGGGTTTGGATCAGTTTGAAACTTCAGGCCAGAGGGCTCTGTGGGGTTCTGCACTTGGCAAACTGGCGCACTCCCTTCTGACTTTGAAATACCTTAGTTCCCTCCCACAAGAAATGCTCTATTTATTGTTTGCCTAAATTGGGTGTTTAAAATGATCTTCAGACTTTTTAGTATATGAAACTTGCACACGAACTGGAAAGCGGGCTTTGGGGATAATTTCTTCTCAGGCAATGTCATTGGGTTGTCCCTGGAGATTTTTCTTTAATTATTCTGTTTCCTGACTCTGCATTTTTCTTATGACTTGGCCTTACCAAAAGATCTGCCACAGAGGGTGACAAAGCTTCTGCCACCCAGAGACCAAAGCAGAGCAGCCACAGGCTTCGTCCCAGGGTGGCCCAACTGAGGCATATTTCTTGATACCCTAAGTTACTGTACTCTTAGACTGATGATGGCAACCAAAAATTCAATGCAGATTTCAAATAACTCAGTGGCCTGTGCCAGGAGCAGTGTAATTCACAACTGTCTGTGTTTGCTAATTTTGTGGTGGTGTCAGTTTGTGCTCAGATGTTTCGAGGAGGCATGCACAATCTCACTTGGGTTTTTAATACAGTGTGTGAGAGAGAAAAGGAGAAAGAGTTGGAAATTTTAAAACCAGACAGTATATGCCTCAGGTTAAACATGAGACCACTGTGGTCCTTTGTCCTTCCTGCCTCTGGGCTGTGAAGTGGGAGCGCCCCCTGGTGAAACTTTGAAATCACTGAAGATTAAGGGTGCACGACCATCCAGATTTCTTTCTAAACTCTATTTGAAATTTTTTAAGTTAATAATATGAGTAAGTTTATAATGAGACTTAAAAAACGTATAAGATCATCAATTCAAGCGATTTCTTTAGGAAACAAGTTAAAATGAACGTATTGCTTTCAATATGAAAAGTGTGTCTAGGATTTGTTTGCCATTTATCCATGTCATTCATTTATGGTTGATGTCTCTATCTCTGCCTATGATCCCACCATAAGCCTATAGTTACATAAATGGAAACCCATATAAAAACATAATTACCTACCTCTCAACCAAACAAATCACTTTGGGATGTGACAGTAAAGCGGCAGCAACAATATAAACAGGCAACAATGGCAGGACAGTCACCATGACACCCCTCAGACATCTGTAGGATGTTTATAGTGTAAAAGCCTATGCATTTTGCTGAAATCACAGACTGGGGCCTCTAAAGTTCTGGGCTTGGTGCTTTCTCCCTAGCAGTGTGAACAAACCTGAACCTCTCTGACACTTGGGGTTGTCACCAGAGGTAGAGGTGGGTTACAGAACACCTGTTCCTCCTCACAGTACCGGACAAGCTTGGGAAAGGGCTGCTCAGGATGGCTTGCTGCAGGATGGTGAAGGGGCTTTCTGACTGGCTGTAGGGATGTTGAAAGCAATTCCCGGTTCAGGACTAAGAAGGAAGGAAAGGAACCGCTCTGCGGTGCTCTGGGGTGGGGGTCATTGACAAAGCAGCTTTCATCCCTATTACAAAGGGTCACAGCGGACCAGGTGGTTTCTGGGAAGGCTGCTGGGTGGAGCTCTGCCCAGAGGAACCAGCTCTCTGTGCACAAAGCCCCACACAGTTTGGCACAGAAAATCCTCAGGCTGGTCACCTAGCAATAGCGTGTGGGGCCGACCTCATGTATAACCCACTTTTCGTTACCAGTTACACTAACCAGTTTCAAGCCTCTGTTGTCTTTTTAAAGCTGAAGCTATTGCAAGTTTGTTTTGCCAGCAATGTTAAACTCTTCACTTGGACAAATGATCTGGTTTTGTCTTTTAGTAGCAGATAATATAATATTAGATTTTTTGCTGTTTAAAATTTTCCACTTCGTATAAAGCTGGCTTTCGGGGGAATCATAGCTAACACAGGCATGTTCATTTTGAAGTATACTTAATGTGCTTATTTTAAAGATCTACTTGTACAGGTACTTTAAACCTAATTATTTCAAACCCCAGACTTTTCCACATTAAAAAAAAAACAAGAAAAATCAAAACCCAAAATAAAACACCACAGGTATCTCCTGCATACTTAGTGCCTGAGTGTTCCCCATTTATCTTGTGGGTGTCCGACTTTTCTCTTTTGTCCAGAGTGAGAATCGGCCCCTCCTGTCCTCACTCTGAGGTCCCTCACATTGTCCGACATGCGCAATCAATCTTGTACTTACAGCTTTGTGAGGAAGCAGAGCAGATGGATAATGGGAGCGGGGTCGCCATTTGGGCTCTGGTGGATTCATGAGCTGCCTCCACAGCCATGACTCTGCTGACAAAAGTGGGGAACAAAGTCCAGTTCAGAGGCTCTCCGGGTACCCTGTCTGCTGGTTAAGCACCACCCACCCCCATTTGGTCCCAACAGTTGGCATCGGGTGGTGGTGGAAGGGGATTTACCTCTTCCTCAGAATAAAATCACACATGACTTCAACTGCCCAGGGAGTCACCTGAATTAAGGGACCAGTTCCAGTTGAGTGACTAGGGCCTCCATGTCATGAAATTGCTCCTGCCTAAGCCTAGACTTCACTTTGTCTAAACTACACACTGGTGTATTAGTGGAACACCATGACTCTTCGATGGAAACTTGGGTCCCTTCTGTACTAGAACCTTCTCTGACCTTTGTTGAACACCACAAAGAAACCAAATGCCAACCCCTGTTTGTCTCAAATTTTCCCCTGTTAATGCTTGATCCAAGTCTACGTTTCCAGCCAGTCTTTCATTTAAAAACACAATCTCATTCAAAACCTGCCTGGTAACTTTATCACTGAGGTAACTGTCACCTATGATGCAGGCTGACCTGGGCCCTTGTAGCACTTGACATCATCTTTTGGACGGGTTACAGAGCCTTTTGAGGGAGTTGTTAGAAGCAGGCTCACCCTGCAATGCAGAACCGGTTGCAGAAGAAAATTAGTGCATTTATCTGTCAGCATTAGACTAGATTTTCAATGCAGTTCACTAGTCACAGGGTCTGGTTTTCTCTTCCTCTGGGAGATGAAACTGATATGCCGGTGGGTAGTAGAGGTGCCAGTTATAAATTGGACCATCGGAGCATGCACGCACGAGAAATGGAAGAAAAGACTTTAAGGCCACAAATTTAGTTCAAGGCAAAGAATTTCCCTAAAAATAGTCTCGCTTGTTAAAACCCCGTAGGAAAGATGTGTGTCAGGAAACTGCTGGCGGCGTCAGAACCACTTCCCATTTCTCTCATGAGAACCCATGTTTGCAGCCTCTCTCCGATGCCATGTTCATTTTAACTGCTTCAGGACCAAATGAAAGGAGGATGCTAACTCTGACGATAAGGAAATTAAATGCATATATCTGTGCATTGGCTAGTTTCTTCTTTGCTGTTTTTGAGCATAAGGGGGCTGCTGCAAGTCTTAGCTTCAAACAGCTGGGCAGGTTTGGTTTATTCCTGCTCTATGTTCTACACGCAGCTGCAGCTCACCAAAAGCCCACTCAATGAGGCTGTAGACCAAACTCACAATCGTGCTCGGCTCCATCAGGGAGGCCATTCTAAACAGACTGTTGCTTATCTCCTGTCGTATGAGGAGATCTAGGTGGAAAGCCCAAGTCCCCACCCACAGGTGCTGATCCAGTACATAGGCTGAAATGATAATGCTCAGAATGCCTCCCACAATTACCACTAGCAGGGTTCACATGCCTCTCAGTATAGTAAACCTGGAGTGTCTCCTGACCTCAGACACCATACTGCTACACTGGCCCATGGGTCCAATTCCTTGACCAGAGAACCAATAAGATCAGAGACAGTGTCAATGGTCTGTTGTAGAATAATAGCCAGAGGCCAACAGACCTTCAGTGAGAACACCAGCAGCACATTCCTGGAAGTAGGAAGGAAGCTTCCAGAGATGTGCCGGAAGGACGGCAGCTCAACACCCTGTCAGCCAACTCTTTGATACCCACCATATGCCCACCTGTATATTGGATAATGTTTTATTTGGTTTGATTTATGGTTTTGGTGGGGTTTTGTGAGGGAGAGAGAGAAAGGGGAGAAGAGAGGAGGAAGGGAGAGGGGCTTATTTTAGTTACAATCCCAGGTTATAGTGCATTCCTGCAGGAAAGTTACAGCAGGATCTTGTAGCATATGTGGCACCCACAGTGATGAATGGAGGGAGAGAAAAATCCATGCATGCTTACCTGAGCTCTCTTCCTTCTCCACACATAGATAATCCAGAACTAAACCCAGGGTGGGCCTCCCCACCCCCAGCGTAATGGAGACCACTTCCCAGAGACATGATCACAGTCCCCCTGATCTACACAATCTCTCTCTCTCTCTCTCTCTCTCTCTCTCTCTCTCTCTCTCTCTCTCTCTCTCTCTCTCTCTCTCTCTCATTAAGACTCTCTTCACAGATTTCAGGTTGTTTCAGGTTAACCATTAAAACTGACCTAACCATCCTGGGACCTCTGGGATGGAGGGAGGGGCAGGGACTAAGAAGAGAGACTGTTACCATTCCTAGAATGAGCATAGCAGCCTACTACTATCTTATTCTTTTTTAGTAACCCACTGAGTCCGGTTAATGTAGCCCATATGCACTTGGTTGTGGGTGAAGGTTTGTGTGTTTTTGAGACAGGTTCTCCCTATATAGACTGGCTTACCTGGAAATTACTGTGTAGACCAGACTGACCTCAGACTTGCAGCGACCCTCCTGCTTCTGCTTCATGTGTGTTGGATCATAGGTGGATATTAGTTTAAACCTTCCTCTTCATCGTCTCTCTGGGGTAGTTAGAGTTCTTCTCTACAGCAATGCCTTCCCTCCTCATGTTCTCACATCTTCTCACAGGATGACCTTGGTCATCTTCCTGTGCCTGGAATGATACCTAACATAGAGCAGGTGTTCAACACATGTATTTTAAAAGGAGGGATGAATGCTAAAATATGATACATGTGATAGTATGTTTACAAAAGCTTTTTTCCCCTTGGGTGAGGGGAAAGAATGTTGGAAAGGGAGCTACTAAAAAATGACTCTGAAATGTTTACCAGGCCCATGATAGGTGTTGGGAGAGTTGTAATTAGGGACAGAGGACCCAGAATAGAAACTCATGTCCACCTTGCTACTGACAGTTGCACTAAACAATAAGCTACAGGAATCCTGAAGTTGGAAATGCATCATCCGACAGTTTAAGGAGTTAGCTGAGAGCTCAAAGGATAACTGAGAGGAAACTCATGGTTTCTAGGACCATGGAGACCATCGGTGTTGCTTTCTCCTTGGCCCCCAGAATTCCTATGTGGGAATCAGAAATGGCTCATTGCTGTCTTTGCTGGTGCTAAAATATAATTAATATTTTAGTCAACATACAAACTCAGTTTTAAAGAACACATAAAGAATCAGACAACACACAGAATGAAAGATAGCATACTCACAGTTCTTTCTCCACGGTTTTAGCTTCCGTATATAAACATTGTACAGTTGGGGAGTTGCAGAAGTAATGGCACTTTTGATCCTGCACTGTAAGGGAGACACAGAAACACTATTTTTGCATGCTTTCTCTCACTTGGGTTTTACCCCGTGCCTGTCTCAGGTACTATAATTGCCTATGGGGTGGAAAACAAAGGCCTGGGAATCAAAGTGGTTGACTAATCTGCTCAGGGACTCAGGGTGGCTACCGGACCTGGCAATCTGACTCTAGAACACACACTCTTAAGCACACATTTTATGAGCAGGCTGTAAAGCAAGTTCAAACCTGAATCCCAAATCAACTTCCCAAGCTCTTGGTTAAGCAGATAGCATACAGGTGCTAAGGGAAGGGTTAGGGTTCCCAGCTTTGGTCTCATTTATTGATCGACACACAGAAGCATGGGAGAGGGTTCAAAGCCAAGTGGCGCTTGATGAGCATGAACATCACACGGGATATGTGATGGTGGCTGGTGACAGAAGCAACTTAGCAACTGAGTCCTGGTGTCACTGCTGCCAAGCACATTCCAGTGTCACAAAGAGAAATCCAGTGATGAGCGTGGCATGACGCAGACTGGCAAGACAAATCGGGCCAATGCGAAGGGGTCTGTTAAATTAGAGCCTAGAGAAAAATCTACAACTACGAAGGCCCGTTAGGGGCAATTTCTGCTCTCCACACATTGCACGCCACGTAAACAGTGGTCATGCCATCAAGGCCTGTGTATGAAAGGGAGAGACCCTGGCTCCTCGTAGGGTCCTTCCCATCTATGGGACTCCTCTGTGTCCTGATGTCAAGGTGCTGGGTCAGGGCCTCCCCAGTTAGATGAGATACTACTTTTAAAAAAAGCACTCTGAATGGAACACGGTAAGACTAAACTCTGAACTTACCAGCATTCCTACCCAAAGAGCCACATATAGGAGATGACTGGCTTTCTGTGTAACCAATATATCTTCAAACGCAGCCTTTCAACTCCTGGACAGGCCCCTCCCAGTCCTTGAGTCGTTGCCTCCACTGTGGCTCCTCACTTCTGCATGGGGTTAAGTAAGATTCAGCCCTGAGCCCAGGCCGCCACTAAGGAGGCAGCAAAGATCCTCGGTGCCGCTGAATGGAGGAAGACACAGGTGAAACAAATCAAACAGAACAATCAGGGGTGGATTTGCAGTGTAGCCCAGCATGGAGATTTCCTGGCAGGATTTCCATTAACTCAAATGGGAGGTGTGTGGCTAAATCCCTACACACTGTGCTGAAAATGTGCCTCTAAGTGCCAGGCTGCATTATGCCGGGGACAAAAACACAAACTACCTCAACCAGGAGAGGTGTTCACGGCTAAGGTTCCACGACTCCCTGCAGAAGGTGTCTCAAGCCATGACCGTCCTGGGTGAGACACAATGGACCCCCACGCAGCCTGGTGAAGCTTACTGGGCACAAGAGGGCTCTGGGCAGCTGCTTGCGACTCTCTCCTCTTCTCCACACAGACTTTGATTGGGGGTCGATCTGGAGTTCCACACAAATGGCTTGTGTTTGCTGAAATGATTTTTTCTCCCGTGCTGATGACCTGAAATTTCAGTAAACCTTAGCATCACATCAGGCCCACCAGAGCCAGAGGCTCAGAGGGTGACAGTGGCATGATTCGTCTTGATGTAGTTTTATGGCCTCTGCAAGGTAAATGCTTCGAAGGACTCTTACCCCAGGATCAAAGAAAATAGTCATGAAATCACTTACCTCGCCTGCTTCCACGGCACAATTTGCTTTCCTGGGCATCCACATAGCGACTGTGAAATGTGCCTGATCTCTGTCTGGGCTGTCTTCCTCAAACCCTCCACCAGCCCTCCTCTTTTTTATAAAAGCTTAAGCATCCTCCCCAAATTACTTTATCTTATCTTCTACTGTGTCCACACGTGGGTTTGCTTTGTTTCCCTTACTTGTTTCTGAGACAGGATCTTATATAGCTCAAACTGGTCTCAAGCTCCATATTGTAGCCGAGGCTGGCCTTGAACTCCTGGTTCTCCTTCCTCCATGCTGAGACTATAGCTGTATACCTGCATGTCCAATGAATACTATGCTAGGGGTCAAACCCAGGCTTCTCCTACATGCCAGGCAAGTGCTCTGGCCATTGAGCTGCACCCCAGTCTCTCAGCATTGTTTCACTTGTCATTTCTCTAAACAAAGTTACCTCTGGTTGACCTTAGTCATACTGTTCCTTCTTGCAAAACAGTTCCCTCCCAGTGACCCTTCCAGTCACTCAGCCTTCAAAGCCACAGTCACACGTAGCTCCTTCCTCACCATTTCTCATGCTGACTCTCCGTCATTCTCTACATCACCTCTGAACTCCGTTCTCTGTTCAGGTGCCCTGGTCCCCATCACAATCTGTCCTTTGTATCTCAATGGCATTGCCATCTCCATGAGAATCTCCAAATCTTCATGTCTCCACAAGGGTATCCATTGCTAAAAACTTGCTAACTGCATCAGTTAGGTACAAAGACCTTTCTCTAACACCAATTTCTCCATCTGCTTCGGATCACCTCGGAGAAGGAACCTACAAGAAACGTAGCCTATTTTACACTGCACATAGAAATTAATTCAAGAACTAAGGCCTCTGAATGTGGGTGACAGATATGTGGCTTGATCTGTTGGAGGGGGCACTGGCAGTGGAACCATGACTTATCCCAGGGGCATGAACAAAAAAAAAAAATGTAGCCATCACCAGCAATCCTTCAACGGCCCTCACAAGCAACAAACAACATTGAGCGAATGCTTTTCCTCTTGTGCATAAAGGACACTGCTTGGGTGGCATGGGCATGACTAGTCCTGGCCAGAGCAGGAATGATGAGGGGGCTTGAAGGAGCACCACTGAGTATCTGTGAAGGTGTCTACCCAGAAAGGCTGTAGTCAGAGAATGGAACAGTCGGGCCTTCTCTCTTCCGCAGCCTGGTGCCTAGAAAGCTGAATACTGTCCCAGGTGACAGCAGCCTGTCCTGGAAACAAACCGGGTAAGATTGTGAATGAGGCCAAGGGGATACCCCTCTTCTCCTCTACCCCCTTCCTAAAACCCACAACTAGACACTTAATTGATCTCATTTCTCCTCTCTGATTTGGCAAGACACGTTGTGCTTTTGTTTGTCTTTGATAAACATACCGAGTCAGGATTGGCTGGTTAAAGTTCTCCCTGAGAAAAATCTAAAGGAAGGAGCATGGCCTAAAGTGAGTTCAGCTCTGGCGGCCTGACAGGGCGCAGTCAGGGGCTCCAATACACTGAGCTCCCTTCTCTTCTGTGGGCAGTCTCTTGACTGTAGCCCTTAGCTTCTTCTACACTAAGATGCTAATTCTTATAGGGCAGGGTGAGGCAAGCATCAGAAACATTGTGCTTAGAGCATACACGGCAGAAACAAGTCTTTAGAAGACCTGCTTGTTAGATAAGGTGACTTCTTGCAACACTCCAGGTGTGGCTGCCCATGGAAATGTCAGCAGAGTGTCTGCGAGAGACTGGCAGTGCAGGCAAGCCTCAGGTCACGAGACAGGTGAGGTCCTGGGAGTTCCCGGCCCCACCAGCAACGTTAGCATGGGAATCTAGGCAGGCTGTTGATCTCCTTGCCTCCGATCCCTCCTGTTTATGTATCTAGAGATCGCCTCTCCAGGTGGAGATCTTAGTACACAGCCCAGCTTCGAGGTCCTTGGCTGGAGTGGACTCTAAAAGTCCTAAGTCTGGAACCTCCTGGCTTTCAAGATTCCTGAATCTATTTGAAAATACAGAACAAGAGCCCTCCCCGCCCCCCCCCCCCCCCCGCCTGCCCTCTCGGTACTATTTAGTTTCTAAGTTGCCTCATCTGAAGAAAAACAAGAGTTCTCCATTTCCTCGGCTCGCTTTCCTGCTGAGAAGAGTGAGGCTAACATCTCCCCAATTGTGACTAGATCAACAGTATAACAGCTGTGAGAGCCGACTAGGGTCCCCAGAACAGGAGCATGTTTCTTTCCTGAGAAAGACTGGTTTCCCCAGTGTTAACCTCCCCTTGTCCCCCAACTCACAACCCCCCTTCCCCCCCCACCAGCTCAACCCAGGTCACATTAGAGCCCCAGAGCACAGGGCACAGTTCTCATCTGTCTGTCACCAAGGAGGCAGACGGGATGGAGGAACAACAAGTCGCTTGTACGCGAAGAGGAGGACACTCCTGGGAAACAAACAGATGAGCCACTCCACGAATCCGAGCCACGCCGGAGGAAAGCAGAACTGCATGAGAAAGCCCAGGCTATCGCTGTATCGTCCTTCCCTCTCACACTGCCCTGCTGGCGGTCTGAGGGGGACCTGAAACTGTAGCTGCGGCCTGTACCAATATCTGATTCTGAGAAAGTGAACCCTCGAAAAGGTGACTGCTTTTCCCTGGGTCTCCCGGAGTCGTGTAACCATCCATTTCTACTGCCTTTCTGTAGGTTATATTCTTTTGGGGGGGAGTATATTGGCACACGGAAGAGGCAGAAGCTGCTGAGAGTTTGGGTAGAGAGCACCAACCTTTAACTAATCAAATGACCACACAGTACAGAGGAAGGTCTGTGAGATATGTTTAGGGTACTTTTCTTCAAATGCTCACATCACAAAATGCCACTCAGGAACACCTGTCTTTGTGACACAGGGCAAGTGTCCAGCAACTGGATTTTGGGCCACCCAGTGTGTGGTCAGGGCACATTCCACAGGTGCTGGTTCAGTGTTCTCTGTTGTGAATGCTTTGGCTATCCCCTGACTCTACGGGCTAAGATGTGACTATTAGTAATGATGGTGGCTGGGGAACTGGGCTTGGGGAGAGGGTCAGGTAGACCACACATGTGTGCACCATCACTGCATAAAAACATGCCACCTGTGACCAGAAAAACTCACAGAAGCCTGGTAGCCATTTCAGTGGGGCACAGATGCCAGTTTCCACACTTGTGAGATAGATGTTAAAAGTATGCAATTCATGTCTCAATGTTGCAAAATTGGAGCAACCAAAAACAATTATTTTCACCTCTATGTTTACTGCTTATTCAAAACGCACCATTGCAAAACTATTTAACGTGCAGCCCGACTGCCAGTCTAAAGTGGATTGAGTCCACTGAGCCTCCAGAAGGTATGATAGGAGCTAGTGCATTGACATGTTCATGTGTGTCCGTCTGCCCCCCCCCCAAGCCCAGCAGAGGGCTGTTGGTGAGGAAGGTCAATCCCCTGCTCTTCTTTTGGCAGGAGGAAGCAATGGAGGAAGGAAGCATGAGACTGATGAGCACAAGCCAGGACAGAGCCCCAGGTCAGTCATGGGACAATCACAGAAGGTTGCAGCTGGTCACTTGCAGAATACTGGCGAGCTGCTCCTAAGTTAGCTCTTAGATGTCATCCATAACCACTGAGCACCTCACATCACCTCATCCGACACTAAGACCAACAAGACCAGGAGAGAGGGGAAGAAAGAGCCATCAGTTATAACATGTCACATCATGAGGCACTAAGGGCTACATATATCCATTTTCTTCATTTGCCTGACATTTCCTTAAGGGACATTGCTATTGTTGTTAGACAAGGACACCAAGGCACAGAGAATTAAGTAACTTGTCCTTTGGCATTTATGTCTGCTTCAAAATTTGGGAAAACTCAGAGATCTAGAGATTTAGCTGGTATCACCCAGCATTTCTGAGTGCTCTGAATGCCTTGTAGTTAGTGGTATCAGCTTGTCACAGAGTTTTCTAACATCGTGCAAATAACCAGGTGTCAATGGGCCCCATAGTCACTGGATTGGGGCATTTTCAAGTTGAAGCAAGAGTCTGCCTAAGTATGAAGATCTCCACACCCCTCACCTCACTCCCACTCCCTGGCTCCTCCACTTCCTGACAGAGACCCCCAGTTCCTGAATCTCACCCCCAGTTCCTCATCCCACCCTGGCTCCTCCACTCCCTCATGGAGACCTCCACTCCCTGGCCCCCACCCGCATTCCCTGGCCCCCACCCGCATTCCCTCACCCCACCCTCACTCCCTCACCCAGTTCCTGGCTCTCACCTCTACCTCCAAAGCAGAATGTGCTCACCGTTTTCCTTCGGTAGCTCCAGTATAGGTAGTGAACAGACTCAAGGCACGAACACAGCCACAAACACAGCAGGGCCACAGCCGCAGTGGCTTCTGTCCATGGGAAGAGAGTGAGAGATAAGCTGACATTGCAGAAAGCACCCCCTCAGGAGAGCCAACTCACACCCAGAGTCAGAGAAACTGGGTTAAAGGCCATTTCCTCTCTTAGTTGTGTGGACTTCCTCAAGTCTCAGCTTCCACAGAGCATAGTTTCTACAATGGCTGTCCCTTGGCTCACTTGTTCTCCTACAATCCATTCCGTCTCTTTTTGGTGGCAATAACTCAATATCCCTTGGGGAAAACCCTCCTTCACTTGTCCCAGATTGTGAAGTTTTCTCAAGGCTCCCAAGTGATGACAGACTTGACTAGCAGATTACAGGGATGGGCACATGAGACATTGGCAGTGACAGACCTTTATTTTTATTTTTTTTCTAGGTTCTCCTATCTCTCAGGCTGCCTTGACTTGCAGGAATGGAGCCCCACCTGGGAGATCACAACCACCCTCCCCCCAGTCCCCCCACCCTGTGATCTCTCAGAGAGTGTTGGCTTACAACACTTGAAGATCTTAGTATACACTCAAGTCACCTAGGTCTGCCCTAGACCTCAGATTGCTGAGACTCAGTTCAGAGTTTCCAAGTACTCTCTGGCAGAAATACAGATACTACTGGTGCAAAAGCTCTACTCTGAGAAGCAGAGTCAGGGCTCAAACCTTCTTCAGCGAATGGAAGACAACTGCGAACACTTTAACGGGCCCCTCTCTGCATTTTTAAAGTTAACCTGAAATTCTTGAGATTGTATCCCAGGCTATATGGCAGCTGTCTGGGAAAGCCCTCATTTCCTTCACACTATAGAAGGGCATCTGTGTTCAGGAAGCTTACTTCTCTTCGCATATATCATCTTCGCATATGGATCTTTTTCTGCAAGATGTTTGGAATGACTGAAAATAGACACATTTGCTATATAAATAAAGGAAAACAACCTAAGTGTCCACAGGCTGGTGAACATGCAAAACACGTGGTATGTGTACAAAGTGGAATACTATTCAGCCACAAAAAGAGTGAACCTGGTCATGTGTGACTACATGGAGATCTGGAGATCATGGCATTAAGTGAAATAGCCTGGCCAAGAAAAGCGACACAGCCTCATGCAGAACTTCTAGAGGCTGATCATCTGAAAGCTGGGGTCACCTACTTTCAACTTACACTGCTTCCAGAGGCGGCAGAGTGTCACTGAGCAGTTGGGTGACCACTGATGGCAATGCTGTGCTCTGTAGTTTTTCACTACATAAGAGTTGCATCTTTTCAGTTGTATTCTACTTTAGGCTATTGCCTTTTCACAATTATTTTTGTTGAGAATTTTATACATGTGTATAATTCATTCTGATAAAATCTACCCCCCATGCTCTACCCTCTAATCCTCTCCTATCTTCTCTATCTCTCCCTGTCACAATGTCATGTGCCCCTCCCAAAATAAAGCACCTAGTACCTCCTGTATGTGATGGGTGTAGGACCATCTGCTGAACCTGAGAAAATGTATGCCTTCCTAGTCTAGGACTGAACCTAACCCGGGACACATCAAAGTCATTACTAAAATCACCTCAAAACGGGATAAAATAGACAGCTGCATCTTAATTCTTTGGTATCCATAACTATCTGGCCTTTAGTTTCTTTTGCTCCTTCATCTGTTTCATCTTCAAGAATGAAGGCAACAGTATCACATGGTTTCCATGGAGATCACATTAGCTAATGGTACACAGCAAGTGCTTAGAATGCCTGGTACACACTAAGTACTCAATAAAGATGAGCTTTCATATTGTTCCTTGCCAAAGAATATAACCTTAAAAAACTCTCCTCTCCACATCTTAACACATATACAAATGAAAAATACCCAAGGGGAAAAAATCCGAGATGAAAACAGCTGCCCACCATTTGTGTAAGTCTGTCTGACTTACACCATGCTCAGACTACACTCTTTTGGGAGGACACAAGGGTTCTTTGTTTGATTTCTTTGACTAAATTCAACTCCAGACTTTGCCACACTCTTGGAGTGTCAATCAATGGGAAGGAGATAGACGGGTTCCACTCACCAGACTAGCTGTGCCGTCGCCACAGCACCCTGTCCTAAGGAGCCACTGGAAGGCCTGCTGAGCACTTAGTTGGTCTACCTGAGACTCTGGTATTTTTTGCTTTGTAGTGGAGGGCCACAGCAGGTTCAGGACTACATCTGTGCCTACCACTGGTACCTTACTACTCCAAGACATTAGTCAAGTGTCTACCTCTCCAAGTTTTTTTCTCCTTCTCTTTCTTCTATTATTTGTCCAGCTCTTTATTTTCCCCCATGAAACTGAGTGTATTTTTAAGTCTCTTCCAGAGAAAGTAAAAACTAAAAAATTAAATGAGTAAACCAAGGGGTGATGGAGTGGCTTGACGTTCATGAACTAGTGGAGAATTAGCCTCTTTTGAATCATTTGGTTTACAGTGAGATAGCATCCTACTTATTTGATTTCTCACTTAACCTCAGGATAGGCTTTAATTCAGAAAGGGTTTCAGCAACTGTACTTTTCTGTTTCTCCATTAAGAAAAAGCTTCGGGAGGACGATAGCTCCAAGACCCTAGAATGTCTCCCAGAAAGATGCCTTCATTGAAAGCACTCACCACAGGATCACATCCGAACATATATGTACAGCGGGGATCGGGGGCCCAAGGTCTCACAGAGAAGAAGGAAGTCAGACAGTCCAGATCTTTCTACAAGGGATGATTCACAGGTATCTGTAGTGGGTCACTTATAGAGTGGAGTGAGGCACACTTTGATGATGTCATTCATCCCACCAACTGTGTAAAGATAGGCTTTAAGGCTCTGGACTTTGCGTTTCTGGCTTTGTGCAGAGACAGCACCAATAGAGAGAAGTCAGGCCACTAGTTGCAGCTCTGAGTAGCAGTTTTTGCTTCGAGGAATACTGATGTTGGTGTCAACGGTACAGTGGTCCCTCTTGTGATCACAAGGACAAAGTCTTGCAGTCAGTTTCCTGTCTTCACACCTGTGATGGGGTTGGTGGGGTACTGAGCTCATGGAGCTGAGTACTGACAAGTGCCTATGACCTCCCATGCTGCTTGACCATCCCCTGTCTCAGTTTCCTTCTCGGGGGTCAGGATGTGTGGCTGGAGTTGTTGTCCTGAGGAGAAGAGGAGGAGACTAAAGAAAGACATGTGCTGCAGAAATTGCAGCCACGCCTTGGAGGAAGACAAGTGTCTGCCTTGGCAGACTCTCATTCACCTAGGGAACTCAGCTGTCCTACCTTGACAGAAAACAGTTTGGGGCTTGGCCATCTGTTGGTGGGCAAGTTCTCCTGGCTTTTTTCTTTCTCTTCCGAGTTTCTTGCCTTCTAGAATCAGCCTTTTTATTCCTCTTGGTGCTATTGGATTTCTTTTCTGGATCATCCAATCCTCGTCCTTTGTTCTCACTGAAGAAGAACCCACTTTTGAGTCCTCAGAAGGCTCAGCATAATTTTGTGCCCTCAAAATCAGACTGTTTTCAAAAAGTATCCAAAAAAGCTCAATATTAGGTATGCCAATTCACTACTCTTTTCTTTCACCAGAGTGTCACGTGCCCAGTAGAAAGGTCAAAGTAGTTCAATGTGTCCTGAAGAGTCAGAGTGCCCATGTTACAACTCCCGGATCAACACATGGGCCCTGCCCATCAGCACAAAGTTCCCTCCAGATCTTCTGTAGACAGCACCCATGCTGCCTGTTCTGATCTCTAACACCGTAAGTTAACTTGACAGTCTTTAAAAATGCAAATACATTCTGCTTTTCTTGAGCATACCATAAGTAGAATTTTTAGGTCTCCTGTGACACAGTCCCTCAAATACTCATGAATTTGACTCAATTCTAATCTTCTGGTCCAATTTGTAATTTCAAGGAAATAGAAGGAAAGAAAAAAGTTAAATCACTACCAGAAAATTATCAGATACAAGTATAGGAGAAAAGGCCACTGTCCTCAATCCTGTGAAGAGATGTGGGAGAGGGGACAGTGGGGTTGGTCTATCCTGTGATAGTCTAACAGTCAATGCAGGCAGGAGTTATATGTGGCTTCAATTGGGTCTTGTCTTAAATAAACCCAGTTATCAAATATGTGTTGGGAAAGTTGTGTGAGACGTGGGATCTAGGGGATATTAGAAAATGTATCTCAATTACTTTAGTTGTGACCCTGGAATTGTTACATAAGATATTCCCAATAAACACCTCCACTAGGAATGTTTAGAGATGAAATTCCCTGATGTTTAGGGCTTACTTGTAAAATCGTCACTAAAAAGGAGTGTATGAGACAAACTGGGCAATGTTACACATCCCCACACCTGTGCGGTGGGCGCAGCTGCTCAAGGGCACACACTGGCTTCACTGTGGGCTTGACAGTCTGAGCAATACAAGTGCAAAAATTACTTTGATGAGCTAAAATAATTTGATTTTTTATTTGTATCCTGTTTCACTCCACAGAAAATGGCTCTTTTATTTGTTCGCCTCATTTCTCAGCACTTTCCTCGGTAATGGCAAAACCCAGAGCCGGCGGTGACATCCTAAAACAAGCTTGCATTTAATGAAGGCCCAATTTACAATATTATCAACATAACTGACAGCTCCTGAGAGGAGGCCATTATCCAGTGAGCCTGTGTGTGCCGAGGTAGGAACAGGATCACGGATTTAGATTTCAATTTACAAAGCTTCCTCCAAAAGCTGAAGGCATTTAGACCTTTAAGAATTTTCAAGCCATGTCTGCCGTCTCTCTAGCATGTTGCAACACTGCAGTAAGTTTATTTTACACAGGCAATTTCTAACACAATTTTCTCATTATGAGTCTGAAACAGAGTTTCACCTTCCACCACCCTAGTGATTCATAGCCTTCTCTGTCTGCTCAGTCAAAGGACCTGGTGTTTCATACGAGTGAAGATGATGTCTCTACTTCCCATTCTTCCAAGCAGTCTGGCTTTTTGCTCTGGTGGAAGTGCAGGTCAGCTTTCGAGCCTCCTCAGGCAGAATGGCCCTCCCGTGAGAGAGCTTCCTCACGTGTCACACTTTCCTGC